CACCCGAATTTTGGCTGGCCCCTCGGTTCCCCCAACTTTTCTAAGTTTTGTAGAGGAAAAAATTAAAGCAGGCAAATTACACTGTTCTGCTAGTATTGACGTTAGTATTAACCCATTGATTTTGTTTTCAAGTTAACCGCTCTTGTGGTCCAACTGCTTGAGAGTGAAAAAGAGGGCATTAGAACTCCACTACTATGAATGAAAAGTTATTCTGTTTAATTTGGTGAAATAACATACTGATACTAAAACTCATTCGTAAGTTGTGTATACGATAGTGGTGTAGTTTGAAAATAAAGACGCTGCTTGAATTTGCACCCCCTCCTCCGCAGAAAAATCTTGGCTCCCAAGTGACGCTTCCACTTTCAGAGTTCCAGAATCGCCTCTGAGTATATTATTTATTTTCGATTTCCGGTCTGAATATTTATTTTCGATTTCCGGTCTGAATATTCGAGAAATCTATTTAAAAAAAATGCGTATATGAAATACTTAATAGCTTTTTTTTTTTTTATCAAACTATCTATTGCTGGTCGATTCGAACTCGCTGCACTGTTCGGCTTTTCACTCAAACAAAAATAAAAATAAAAAATAAAATAGATAAGTTCGTTTTCGCTTCAAGAGTTATACCTTCCAGGGTAGATACTATCAGACAATATCTGTGTTCTTGGCTACATGATTTTGTTGTGCCATCTTTTACGATCTGACCGACACATTTTGTATCAGCCTTTTAACCCTTTTTTTCTGATCCACTCCTTTCCAAGGTCTTTTTTTTTCTTTTTTTGAACTTTCTTTTCTTTTTCTTTTTGCTGTTTTTTTTTCCATATCCATTTTTATTATTCGTTTTACGACTGCTCGTACTATGACAAGGGAGATAACATCGACTCTAATCAGGACACACGCTAGTTTGATCCGCTCAGGGAACTGCTTAAAAGGGAATGAGGTTAGGAGAAGTTAGATTACTCACTGTCTCTGTCTCTCAGTCTCTCTCTCTCTCTCTCTCACACACACACACACACACACACACACATATATATATATTCATAGATAACCAGGAGAAGAAAAAAATGTCTTGTGCCGTACTAAAACAAGTCAAATAAAGAGAAAGGGAAATATGAAATATAAAATACAGATAGACTTTGAGTCACGAACATTCGACTTACGATATTTCGAATTTACGATCAAGTTATGATAATATTTTCCAAGTTATGATCGTATTTTTTTTCATTTAAGTCAAATTTCATCCTGTAAACAATTAATAAATACATAAAGTATTCCATGGCCGGCGCGTACTACCCACCTCCGACCGGGTTTGAGGTCAAGCCTGAATGGGTTCCCCGGACAGTACTTTGTGGCCCTCGCTATCTTATCAACATTTGCTTTTTTTCTACCTACATTTATATACGTTGCAAATTAAACTAAGCATAGCTCACTATGAAAGGATGAAAAATTTTCGCGGATTTTAACGTCATTCTCGGGTCTTTTGTTATTTTTTCATCCAAATCCGTGAATTTGTTTTGCTGATGGTAAGTCTAGAAAAAAACTCTATATAAAATTCTCTATTTTTTATCCATAATGTTGAATGTGATAAAATTATTCAACTCTTTAACAAGAAAAAATTCAAATTGATGTTAAAATTTGCCGCAAAGAATTGTCGATTTATAGGAGTAATCTAATTATGACAATTCTAATTTGTATTTAGATACAAAGTATTTATTTTCAATTTTTCTAGTTTAATTGTTCATCTATATTGCATATGATCCATTATTATACATAATTAGATTACAATAAAATTTGTATTTTATATGAATACGTATGAAAATTGAAATGTATTACAGGTGTGGGGGCTCCATATCGTATATTGTGTCGGGAGAAACCTTTACACCGGCCCTTTTAAATTTCATTAATCAGTTGAATTTTTTGTAGAATTTTAAATGCGATTAAATTTTAGCAGGGAAATCTTATAGCTGATTTTTGCGTATTTTGTAAACAATTGCAAACACTACGTCTCCGGAGCAGACTAATATACAGCAGGAGCACCATACCATACGTTGCAGCAATATTCAAAGCAGGGACGAATGTTAGACTTATAAATATGTAAGAATTAATTTAAAGACTAACGAAATAGCGAGCATAATAAATTAACAAATATGTATATTAATAAATAATATTGAATATGCAGTATAAAATATAATAAGGAGATACGTCAAAAAATATTTATTATTATAAATGGTGTATTCTATTATCTCTTATTGTGCTTATAAATTAAACTTTATCATATGTATAGCATCATCATCATTTATGTGCCATGTCTCTTCGACACGTAAACAATCATGACTCTCCACAACTTCCTTTCCTTTGTACCTCTAAGCAGCGTTTGACTCTTTACTGTCGCTTCTAGTCTCTGATCTGCCACCCATACACAGAATCTCCTTTGGTAATTTGCACACTGATTCCCTCTACCCTTCCTTCCTGCAATAGTTCCTGTGAGTATTAAATATATATATATATACACACACACACACACACACACACACATATATATATATATATATATATACGCACCCGAAAAAATTAACTGCGGTTGTGCACTCTAGGGAGATAAGTGCGAATTTGTAAACAATAACTAATACTACAAATATTACAAGCTCTTCCCGAATTGAGCACTCTCAGTCATTGGCGTGTTTATTCACAGAATAAGTACGTAAAAATTCGCCTTTCTTTCAATCGTGCGCCAATTGCTTAGGGTTGCCGAATCAGTCGGGTTTCGATCCCGGCTTGAAGCAATCGGATGTCTAGCCACATTGCTGAGTTGTGACACACCGAAACAGTCTGTCTGTGGATAACAATATGTATGTATATATATATATATATATATATATATATATATATATATATATATATATAGTATACATGCATAGAAAAATATCTATATCCAGGGTTCGGTTCGGTACTATCCGTAGTTTTAAGCATCTGCTAGGGTTATTGGAACATATCTCCCACAACTGAAAGACTACACAATAAAAATACCTGTTAGTGTCGATTACCAACTAGCATGTTCTTCGGAGTTACTTTTATGACGTGCCTTGAAGTTATTAATCAAGACACATGAAGTGTCTAATTGACACAGAAATAATGAATTTAAAAATGTTAACTCATGAGAACAGAATTAAAAGAAAAAAATCACACTATATATATATATATATATATATATATATATATATATATATATATATATACTCCATAACTTAAGAAGCACAACAAAACAAACAAGTATAAATTTACCAACTTAGTCATGTTTTCAAAATTTCTTAATTAACTTGACATCTCTAGCATATAAAAAAATATTCCAAATACAGTTTTTTTCTTTTTGAAACACTCTGACCATGCCCCCACGTGCCAGTCATAAATCCTGTTTCTAGCAAAATGTCGTTTGAATAGAAGAATCTGAAGCCCACCCCAATGCGGCAGGAATTTCTTTCATTCTAGCAATCCTACTGGAGAGGAAATCTAACGCCTACCAATAAGGCATCTCCATGGGAAAAAAAAAACGGTTCTGATTAAAAACAAAAGGGCTTAGAATGCTATTCCGATTCGTGAAATGTTCAATTCTGTTTGGCCTGAACCTCCCAATTAAATGGATAAACCGGAACTCTAAGAGATACAAAATATACGCTAATTCCCAAATGTGTATATCGTCATAGAAAAAGGACAATAATGCATTGTGTAATATCTATCTCTCAAGCGGGATTTTTATATGTGGCCTCTTCAGGACATGGGCAATCTTGCTTAACCATCGTAGACAGTATATACAATCTAATCGTTGTGATAAAAAGCAATAAACTCTGATGAAAGAAAAACACTTGTAAAAAAATGGATTTTTAGAGGGTATATGCAAAAGAGAAAGGGTGCAGATAACATTGTATAGAAACTTACAAGCAACATTAAGCCGGCTCTGGAAAGGCATAGAACAGGATGTAGCTGATCGACATCAGTGGAGGAAGATTTGCCGCCTATGCGAAGAAGTGCGACCGAGAACCTAAGACATAAAACTAAAGTCTATGGAAGACTTGACCGAAATCAAATGTATGGATAGTTAATGAAAAGACAAAGAGATTATTTAAATTAGTGCTCACCCTATAAAAGCCCAAGAGCCACTCAAGGTAGAGAGTTAATGTGTAGTGTTGTAGGAGCGTACGAAAAGGCAAAAAGAGGTCAAGATTGTGGCGATTTAGGGAAGCTTTCTCTCGGGATACTGAATGAGGTTGTTGCATGGACGTAACAGGAGGAGGTCAGAAGTTCAGTTTATGAGGTTATGTAGGAAAGATACCGGTTAACTCTAGACTCGAAGAGGTTAAGATTGTAAAAATCAGGGGAGCATCCTCTCGGGAGTCAGAATGAGGGTGCTGTATGGGTGTAAGAGAAGAAGGTAAGAAGTGCAGATTATGATGATATGTACGATAGATAACATTTAACCATAGACTTGAAGAAGTTATGATTGTAACGATCGAGAAAAAATTACCACAAAGCACGAATCTTGGGAAGAAGCTGTTCGAGTGGAAATTACTACTTATTAATGGAATATGAAGAGAATGGAGATGATTTATTCGTGTGTAGGTGCCATGGCGGGTCTCGGTTGCAAAGGTCTAGGCTTGGGGAACAAAGGCACTCGCCAGAACACTTGCTATGGAAATAGCAATAGAATAGCAAGAGACTTGCGGCATTGTAGGGTAGAAAATAATTTGACACCTATAAGGCCGCCTTGATGATTTTGAGCTCTGTCAAGACAGACAAGTGAAGACTGCGCAACTCCAGCCTAGATATGACAGCAATATTCCATTTTTGGCCTGATCTAGCTTTTGTAAAGATAGAGCATAGCAGAGGGAGTCAGATACTTACTGGAGCGGTGCAATGAACAATTTTCCCAGCATCTTTAGCGATATATCAGATATATGAATTCCACAAGGTCTGTAGTGAAATTGAGTCCCAACAAGGCAAGTAGCCACTTAGAGAGAGAGAGAGAGAGAGAGAGAGAGAGAGACGCAGAGAGAGAGAGAGAGACGTAGAGAGAGAGAGAGGCATACACACACAGACAGAGAGAGAGAGACACAGAGAGAGAGAGGCATACACACACAGATAGAGAGAGAGAGAGAGAGACGCAGAGAGAGAGGCATACACAGGGAGAGAGAGAGAGAGAGAGACGCAGAGAGAGAGAGAGAGACGCAGAGAGAGAGAGAGAGACGCAGAGAGAGAGACGCAGAGAGAGAGAGAGGCATACACACACAGACAGAGAGAGAGAGAGACGCAGAAAGAGAGAGACGCAGAGAGAGAGGCATACACACACACAGAGAGAGAGACGCAGAGAGAGACGCAGAGAGAGAGAGAGGCATACAGAGAGAGAGAGAGAGAGACGCAGAGAGAGTGCTCGCGCGCAGCCATCCGTCATGATGCCTGATGGGTTTGCTCAGTGGTGATGGAATGTTACTAGTTTGGTTTTGCACGTATTGAATTTTACAAACCAGTCCTTCCTCCATTAAGCCATCAGGGCTAAGTCAGCGGAGAGTTGAGCTGTTAGGTGTGGCGGTGCACCTCTAAACTGTTGTGTCATCCAGATAGATATCCATTAAGGAACAGAGTATGTTCTTAGGCAGATCATTGATATAGAGCAGAAGTAGGGTAGGGTAGCGGAACAACCCTGAGGAACGCCCAGATTAATCTCATGGGTTGCCGATGAATGGAACGACGTTAACCTGCCTTTTACAAAGAATTTGATAATTGACAAAGTCTTCCAGTGATTCCGTAGCTGGAGTTTTCATATAGCAGCCTTCAATGCTATACCTTTTCAAGGGCGTTTCATATATCCAGGGCGATGACCTTCGTCAGGAATTTCTTGTCTAGCGCCCTCGCTGATTGTGAGAGTAATGACAGTTAATACATTAGTTGAAATCCATACTGGTCGACGGTTCCTGATGAGATGTTCAAAAACATTTATGGAGTTTACTGATGGTACTAAGGAGGTTAATGAGTCGATTGTGCGACGGTCTTGAACTTCACCCCCATTTTTTAAAAAAAAGCACACAAGTGACACTTTCCATAAACTTGGGGTGCATCTCTCCTTCAGGCAGCGGTTAATCAGTTTTGACCGTACTGAAGATAACTCTGGTTTGGTCTTCTTAAGAACAACCACTGGGATTTTATACGGACCGGTGGCATTCTTTGTCTGGAAAATTTTTTCACCGTAATAGAGATATTACAAAATACTCACAAGTACTCTGTTAGAAGCGGGTAGTCAGGTAAAGGGAGGTCCTTATCGTCAAACGTAGTTAGAGGCGAGAAAGATAAATAGATAACAAAAAGACTAAAATAGACACATAATAAACAACCTGAGATAGCTAGATAACAAAAGACTCAAATAATGAACAATCCGAAATAGATAGATAGTTAATGAACAGACTGAGATAGCTAGATAACAAAAGACTCAAATAATGAACAATCCGAAATAGATAGATAGTTAATGAACAGACTGAGATAGCTAGATAACAAAAAGACTCAAATAATGAACAATCCGAAATAGATAGATAGTTAATGAACAGACTGAGATAGCTAGATAACAAAAGACTCAAATAATGAACAATCCGAAATAGATAGATAGTTAATGAACAGACTGAGATAGCTAGATAACAAAAGACTCAAATAATGAACAATCCGAAATAGATAGATAGTTAATGAACAGACTGAGATAGCTAGATAACAAAAGACTCAAATAATGAACAATCCGAAATAGATAGATAGTTAATGAACAGACTGAGATAGCTAGATAACAAAAGACTCAAATAATGAACAATCCGAAATAGATAGATAGTTAATGAACAGACTGAGATAGATAATGAAAATACATACATAATGAAAACACCGAGATAGAAAGCAAGACAGAACGATCGATTGATCGGTAGATAACATTGTATTTCTGACCAACAAAGAATAATTGAATCCCCTCTATTCGAAGAAATACGCAGAAGGACCTAAACCATGACCTAACCTAAATATCACTTTAACGATTTTAAACTGTTAGAATTGAACAGACAGTACATCTATTCGAATAAGAGAACCAACAGAACAAAAGACATGCTAATTAACAAGATACGCAAAATCTAAGGAAGGAACACTGATATTAGAGAAATACTATATTAAATTGTTATATATTAAAAAAATATTTAGAGATGGAACGAATATGTTGGAGAACTCTTCTACGACCAAAGACAACCACCGGCAATACACAAAAATATCGAAAGATCAAAAATATTAAAATCTGAAGTGGAATCAGCACTGACCAAATTGAACAGAAACTAAGCAGCAGGGCCAGACAGAATTGTAATAGAGATGTTGGCACCCTTAGACGATTTCGGCGAAGACAAGATTACAGATATAATAAATGAAATCTACAACAGCTGTGATATACCGGAAGGCCTAAGCTATTTCATAGCACTGCCTTAGAAGGCAAGTGCAGACGAATGGGAACTACATCGGACAATTACCCTAATGAGCCATATAACAAAACTTATCATCCAAATTCTGATGAATAGAGCTCGCAGCAGAATCAAACCGGAAATAGGACAAGAACAAGGAACGCGATATTTATGTTCATAATGATATCAGGGAGAACTATGCAAATGCAGAAGGGCGTGTACCTGTATCTTATAGATTATTTAAAAGCGTTTCATAAAATATGTCACAAATAACTGTTAGAACGGCTTAGTAACCATGAAATATTTGAGAAGGATATTAGAATATCAAGAACCTATACTGACAGTAAACCGCCTGCACACATATAGAAAATGAGTTCGGTAGAGATACAAAGATAAAAAGGGGTTTAAGACAAGGATGTATCTTCACACCGGACTTATTCAACCTGTTCAGTGAGGCAATTCTGAGAGAATTAGAAATCAGGATTCATTATTGGCGACCACAATCCTAACAACATAAGATATGCAGATGACATAGTATTGATGGCGGACACAGAAAGGAAACTACACAAACTCCTACAGAAATTAGTGAAGGAAAGCGAGCAAAAAGGACTAAACATCAACTGCAAGAAGACAGAATGCATGGTTGTTAGCAAAAGGATAAGCCCAAAATGCAAATTGTAAATTGGAGATACCGAAATCAAAGATGTAAATATATGGGAAGTGTTGTAATGGAGAACAGAAAGTGTGACTTTGAAATCCGAAGGCGCATTGGGATAACGAAAGATGCATTCCAAAAACTAAGTAAAGTATTAAGATACAGGAAAATTTCGTTTGAAACAAAGAAAAGAGTACTGAACTGTTATTTGATATTTGTCCTCCTGTAAGGCCGTGAATGCTGGACAATCTCCTCAAAGTTGAATAAGAGACTTGAAGCAACAAAATTGTGGCTCTACAGAAGGATGCTGAGAATACTATGAACCGAACACATGAGCTACAACGATGTTTTATAGAAAATGGAAACAAAAAAGAAAATTATATTCAACATCACGAAGAGACAGTTTAAATTTCTAGAGTACATAATGAAGAAAGAGGGCTTGGAAAATTTGATACACACAGGACAGATTGAAAGTAAGAGGGATAGACGGAAACAACGCATAAGCTACATAGTGAGCTTGAGTAAATTCATGGCGGAATAAGGTTTATGAGAAATAAAAAAGACAAAATTTATTAAGAGCTACGAAGGATAGGAAATTGTGGAGAGCTATGATCGCCTACGTCCTGAAGGGACACGGCATATAAAAGAAGAGAAGAATCGAACAGGATTTACATTTCTAAGTATTTATGCAAGTATGTGTGTGTTGTGTGTGTGTGTGTGTGTGTGAAGTCGCTGGCTGGGTAATTGACATTTACTTATGAAAACCAGAATCAACGCTCATTTTTTTTTATCCAAGAAGAAACCATATATACTAATAAAGAACAGTTTCCAAAAATTGTGTCGCTTGAACATACAAAGAGATTATTAAGGAAACTGTAATAATGTTACAATATAGCCGATACAGATAAAAGCAAGCAATACAATCAACTGTCTGTCCATTAACGTCTATATATAGATAGATAGATATGAAAATGCACACACCGAGTCGAATTGAAAGGCAAGGAACATTCATAAAGTCAACATCAATAACAACTTGAATTCGCTTGTATAGATAGATAATAGGCGTACACTGAGATACACAATGAACGTCATACGAATATAAAATTACTAAGTACATAAAAATTACCGTTGCATGATGTAGGATCAGAATAAAGTGCATTTTAGTGAAAGATCAGTGACTTAATATATAATACATAAATGTAGATTCAAGTCTCTTCGGAACATCGAAAGGAAGGCATTTATGCGATGACTTTTTTTTTTCATAAAATAAAAAACAAAAAAAAACAAACAAACAAAAAAAAAAAGCAGTAAATATAAAACTCCTGTACTTAGAATAAGAAATCTACAAAAAATGCTTCAGGGCGCTTGCACTGCTATGGAATAAAGAAATCGGTGTGTTGCTATACATTTGCACATTCACATCAAAATTACATTTTTATAGGTACCTCCAAAAATTTGTTAAGATTGACGACTGCATTATAAAAAAATGTCCAAAACATAATAAAAAACAAAAATCTTATCCTAAAGATCTTCGTGTTATTATTAAACAAGAAAGTAGAAAGGAAATTTTAAAATATTTTTTTTTTTTACCTTTTTAAAATGTTGGAAATTTTGGTTAAAAATATTGTTTTTTTAGGACTTAAATTTGTAAGCGAAATTTGAGTGTTTTGTATTTTTTTTTTTTGCAGTGAAAACATTGATTTGTAAATTCTTGATAAAATAGATAATTGTCGGATTTTTTAGTGAAACTTTCAGAACTTATTCTGAATTGAATGAAATTATTTTTGAAATATTTCTTTTTCTTTTATAAAATCTTGTTAAAATATTTTTAAAAACTCTGTTAAACCCCACACTCATTCATTTTCTATGAAATTTCGAGAAATTCTTTTTTGACTTACTTAATGCTTATATTATTTATGAAGACAAGTCATTATCGGATTTACCATCAAAACCATAAAAAAACTTTTGGTCAAACACAACTCCCAGTTGTTTAAAATCTGCCCTGTATGGTAAAATAATGAATTAAAACTAAAACATTTTTTATTGAAAATTTTTTAAGTGGTTTCAGTAATAAGATATATTACGGGCGTTATTGTCTTAAAAACAAAATCCTTTCGGTAAATAATGAATTTTTATAAGAATTGTTTTCATTTTTTATATTTTTATTAGAATAATTTATAATCTTTTAAATCTTTTAAAATTCTGTATTAATTTGTAACGGTCAAGTTATATTATTATTAGATTAAAACTGTATTTACAAATTACAAATAGAATAGCTCACTACAAATCAACGACTCCCAATATCAAAATAAGAATTTTGAATTTTTTTTGTGTGTAAAAACGTGCCGATATTTGTAGATATGGATGTCCATATACAACGTTATCAGACAATAAGAGCGGTAACTATAATAAATTAATTATTATAAATTTTCTCAAGAAGCCTTTTCGTAAATAAAATTATGAAGATAAAGTACCCAAAATTCAATAAAATATTAGATTGATTGTTTAAAATATTTCATTAAATTTTAAAGATTATTGAGTAATTAAAAAGATATATATATAACAAAAGGCGTTCACGTTGTTTTCGTCAAGTAATTTCTTTCATTTCTGATCCCTTACTTAAAATTTTCCTAAACATTAGGCTGTCAATAAAACACTCAGCACATCAAAAACACCCTCACCGTCTTAAAAAGGATTTTTCTATGGATAGTTTAAACTAAAAGTAATATTTGTTTCAATTCAGCTTATTTAAACTTTAAATCAGCTAATACTCCTCAAATAACATTTCTGAAAAGTATATTTATTATTTTTTATTTTTTAATAAAGACAATTATTTTTTATATTATTTATAATTACTTTACTTATAAATAATTTAATTATATTATTCATAATTATCTATTTTAAATAGATTATTTATAATTATTTAATTTAATTATGATATTTTTAATTATTTAATTATTATTTATAATTTAAAATTAAAAACAAAGATTACAATCAATTTAAATTCGGTTTGAAATACACCAAAGTATTTTGATTACTGGGAATATTAAATTTAATCAATTAATTTTAATTTTTTTATGAATCCAAACCTTACTTGTTGTGGCAAAGCAGGACAAGAATTAAAATTGCTGTCCAAAATTGAATCCATTCGTGCAATATAAAATATTCATGTTAAAAGCCAAGATATTCAATTTTTTAATTCATTAGATGGAATGTTAATTATTATTAATTTTTTCCTAGTATTTCTTTCATCTTAATTTCAGATGAAATATATTTAGACAAAAGCGAAGAATTTTATTTTTTCTCCTATGTTTATATATGATAGAAAGATAAGGAGAGCCAGCGATGGATAGATAGATAGATAGATAGATAGATAGATAGATAGATAGATAGATATTTTTTTAATGAAATTCTGCGAAGTGCAGTTATCATTATATACACTATTTATATTCGGACTATTGTCCACATCTTTGTTGTGGTTATCGCAATATCCGTTATCCGTTATGTACTCCGGCCTACCTCAAGTGTATAGCTGAAAATCTGAATTGAACCCTTTATTTAATCTCAGACTGTGGCAATTTTATGGTCATCCTCCTTGTCCCTTCTGTTCCCTCCTGCAGACGCTGATGATATGTCATTCTGAAGGGTACATTTGATGCTGATCATTCCTCGTTGGTATGTGTGTGTAACAGTAAGAGATAGATCAAGTATCGACCATCATAAAGACTGAAAAATAAAATTGACAAAGATTATTGTTTAAGGTTGACGGACACGCATGTCTTAATTAGTTTTTTTTTTTTTTTTTTTAAAGTTTTTTTACGAATTGGTCAAACCCAAACTCAAACAAAAACATTGTTTTCAATCGTTATGAGTCTACCGATTGAATAGAATTTTATCATAAACAATTGTCTTGTAAATGGAATTTTTAAAGCATTCTGAATGTAAAAATAAAGAAAAAAGTGTGCAAGACAATAAGAAACACTACCTGCCAAAAAAAGTGAACTTTTGTTGAAATCGGTTGAAAAATGTAGGAAATCCGATCCCATATATAAACGAACACAGACACACACACACGCACACACACACACACAAACAACCTGTGTTTTATAATAAGTATAACTCAATATTACTTGTCCCCCTTTCATTCTCGCGATGCCTCTTAACCGTGTTTTTAAATTGATTTCGTGCAAAAACAATTGTGTTTTTCCAATTTTTGGCGCTGTCAGAAACACCGCAAGTTAATTTTACGTAGTCCTGTGAAGTTTTGTTGAAATCGGTTAAAAAATGTAGGAAATCCGATCCAATATATAAACGTACAGACACACACACAACCTGGGTTTTATAATAAGTATGATGTGTAAATGGTAGGAACTTGAGGCATTGTTCAAGGAAGTTGCCTTATGGTATATGGATGTTTTGAGCCTATTCTCTGTGTGAGTTATACGTAAACCTAGGAAAACTAGTTGATTGTTCTATTCTTCTTCCATTATGAACTGGGTCGAAACTCTTATTAAGTTCACATGGTCCAGCAGTATTTGCAAAGCTTCATGGTGCGGTCAGAGTATGACGGTATGATCTACGTCAGTGCTTCTTAACCCTTTGAGGCCAGCATCCCTGAACTATTTTAACCCTTCTGCCTGAGATCATGAGTCAAAATTCGCAAATAATTGGCATGTAATGTTTCACGGTAGTTATAACAATTATTACAAGTGTTTATCCACCGTTCAACCGGTGGCTGAGCATTGAGTCATTTTTCTCTACCACTGTTCAACCGGTGGCTGGGCATTACGTCATTTTTCTCTACCACCGGTAGGGCGGTGGTCATGGTTCAAAGGGTTAAATTATCTAATGTGTGGTACCGGCAGGCGAGCGAAACTTTCCAATCCAGTTAGGGTTGGGCGCGATGTTCAGCCACTGCCATTTTTTTTTTTTTTTTAAATGTCCTATTTCAGTGTCATTTTGTAACTATTTGTACTAAACACGAGGACTTGATATCTTATTCATTTAAATCCAGCCATCATTGACGTAACAAGTCTTCCCAGTGTGCCAGGGACCTGTACTATATTTGTGTCATATATATATGTGTCATACTATATAGCAACAACCCGGGAGAAATTTATTTGAATATTCGTAGTGTTATTCATTTATACGTGAAAAATATAATGAATATAATAAAAGTTGCATCATATTAAAAAAAAAATCTATTGATTTTATAGAAATATATGTCCATGAAAATGGCCTTATCATATTCCTAGGCGTGGTTCCCACACACTCACACGCTACATCATAATGATGGTGTTGTCATACGTATTTTAGTTCACTGTTTTGCTATTAATTATATCGTATTCATTCGTTTTTGATATAATGGAATATGCATACACCTGTGTTCCACCTCACTGGAATATGATTGGTTGGTGTCCGTCATAAATACAGACGGACGTGTAGGTACGACAGAGTTTAAGTCTATAACGACGCCCATTGGACTACGCCATTGGCTATCCTATTGGTCTACACCTATTACCTGCGACTACAACGAGTACCAGTCGATTACTGCTACCGTGTACTACTTGGTTATAGTAGCCAAACCCACTTAGCTACTTCGATCAAAATATATCCCTTTCCTGGAAATATCAGTTTTATAGCAATTACTTTTAACACAAGTGAGTCATTGAAAAATATAACCACAATAAATGTGAAACTAAACCGAAAATGTTAAAAAAAAACGAGTTAGCTATCCCGTCAATCTTCTGTGGTATGGAATCTGCCTACTGTTTCTTTGTTTCCTTGAAACACCCGCGTATCGGCAAACGATGGCTTGCATACTGGCAAGGGTATCACACATTGAGTAACACTGATCTACGTATCTCAGCCATAATGCTAGCTTTAGTGGTGCCGTTTCTAAAGACATTTCCTCGAAGAATTTGCCATAACTGAACAGTACTAAATAGAATAAAAACTAGACGATATGCCTAGACCTGAGCAGTCTAACCCCGGAAATTTAATAAAGGTTTCAGTTCAGAATTCCCTGTAAGTTACTTAGTCCGATATAAATCCAAGGAAGGCCGGAGAGTACAATAACTGAAACATTGTGATAATAACAACAAAGATGAGGAGAATAGATCGAATATAAATAGTGTAAATAAGATATAGATAGATGTGAACAGACGGAGATAGATAAATATGATCTGAGATAGATACTTAGATAAATATGAATAAACTGAGATAGATAGATATGAACAGAGTGAGATAGATTGATAGATAGATAACTAGATAGATATGGACAGAGTGAGATATATAGATATGAACAGAGTGAGATAGATAGATAGATAGATAGATAGATAGATAGATAGATAGATAGATAGATATGAACAGAGTGAGATAGATAGATAGATAGATAGATAGATAGATAGATAGATAGATAGATAGATATGAACAAAGTGAGATAGATAGATATGAACAGAGTGAGATAGATAGATAGATAGATAGATATGAACAGAGTGAGATAGATAGATAGATAGATAGATAGATATGAACAGAGTGAGATAGATAGATAGATAGATAGATAGATAGATAGATAGATAGATAGATAGATAGATAGATATGAACAGAGTGAGATAGATAGCTGGTGCAAAATCTTCTAGTTTCACTTTTTACAAAATCTGAAATTAGGAAATATTAGAGAAAAGTTCGTGTTTAGTGATGTTAAATAGAATTCTTTATTACGAAATAGATTAACGGCAACCTCTCATCCTTTTATAGTTGAAAAGGCTAGATGTTCTATGCTGACAGTTTCTTTTCTCGTCCTTTTCGCTCGTGAAACTCTCTTTCGGCTTATTGCTCCCCAGTCAACTTTGATCTTCAAAAATTTAAATTCAAGGTCAATCGTTATCGTCCGTCTTCTTAATTTTTGTTCTTTAATAGTTCTCTCTCCTTAATAGTATTTTTCTCATATCCTCTAACACTCAATAACTCCTTGCATCCTAGTGGCTTTATTGCCTTTGATCTTCAAAAATTTAAATGCAATGTCAGTTGTTATCTTCTGTCTTCTTAATTCTTGTTCTTTTATTGTCCTCTCTCCTTAATAGTAGTTTTTCTCATATTCTCTAACACTCAATAATCCTTTCCTTCTTAGTGGCATTTTTGCCTTGCTTAGGGTGATATGATTTAAAAAAAGATCTAATGAAGTATTGTCTTCTTTAAGACCTTAAAGGCTTCATGCAGTTCAAGTCATTTTTAATCATTGATCTTTAGAAGAGAAAAAAAACGTGTCCTCTTTCGTTTCTCTAAGGATGTGCTTATTTTGTTCAATGGTTAGTCGCCTTCTGCCTGTGTGTTTTGTATATTATTTTACGATTATTATATGTAATCAAAACTTTATTATCTTAGATTGTCCAGCAACATTTTTAACAAACTCTTTTATTCTTATGAATTCTTACCATCATTATTTATTGAACAAAGGTTTTTTCCTTTTTTTTTTTTTTTTTTTTCCTGTTAATTTGCGTATATAAAAGAAGGCTTCCGGTTTTTATTAGATTAATTTTTCCGTTTCCTATGACGTGGATTATGGGAAATAACAAGTTCCTGAATTTCACAGTAATTGAATTACTTCATGTTTCAAACATAAATAAGTGGAAATTTAAACTATATGAATATATTGTGTTACCAAATTAAAAGCACTAAATCTAGGGCTTAGTTTTTATTAGGGAAGAGATGAGAAAGGTACTATTATTAGGTTGTGCACACAGCATCCATCCCGCCTTTACACAGCTATTTGATGATAATATAGGCGCCTAACTGAGTGTTATACTAATCCAATCTTTCTCCCTTTGTCTATTTTCTCTTGCTCCTCTCCTCTACCTTTTCTTCTTTTATATATATATATATATATATATATATATATATATATATATATATATATATATATATATATTCTGAGGAATTAATTAATTTTATTTATAATCCGACATTATTTTTTATTACTTTAAAGGTTCTAACCTTTCCGGAAAACACATTTTTCCTTTTATGACACTCGTATGCACAGGCCGATACACGGAAATATATAGTGCTTAAAAAATAAAAACACAAGAAATATTTGGCCATTTCAGGATATTTACATTATTTTCAACAAGCCATTTCCTCGTAGATTTTGCGGTTTACTTAGGATCATTATCTTGTTGGAAGATCCAATAAGGAGGTAGTTCAAGATTTTCAACCGAAATCGTTAAATTTGCTTCCCAAATATTTTGATATGCTGCGGCATTCATTTTACTATCTATTACTGATATGTTGCCAGTACCTTTTGCAGAAAAATATCCCCTAACCATGATGCTGCCACCACCAAATGTCACTGTTGGTACTGTGTTCTTTTTGTTTGAAAGCATCGCCATCTTTCCTTCATATATGGTTTCTAGAATTGCGTCCAAACAGCTCAAGTTTGGTTGCTTCTGTCTATAATACTCTTTCTCAATAGGATTTTTCCTTATCCTAATGTTCACGAAAAAATTTCAAGCTGGCATCTCTGTGTCTTTCTTTTTAATAGCAGTGGAGTTTTCCTAAGTTAGCGTGACTTTAGATTGTTCCTACGAATTTCATTGCTTATTGCCCGTTTAGGGACACAGATTTCTGAGGAAAGCAAATCATCCTGCAACTATTGATGAGTAACCATTTGATTTTGTTTAATTTGACGCATTAATTTCCCCAAAGACCTTAAAAAAAAAAAATCTTCCGTGGAACACCTGTTCTTCTTTGGTTTTCAACAATTTCGAGTTTTTTTATACCTTGCAATGAATGTACTCATGGAAGTAAATGCAATATTCAGGTTGTCTGAGATTTTCCTGTAATTTTTACCTTTTTTCCAGAGCTAAGCAATCAGTTCTTTTTGCGAATTTGTCAATTCTTTAACTCTTGCCATTATGAAAACCTTCTTGCATGAATATCAATTATAGAATGTTCTGTTTGTATTTTGTAGGCTAAAAATAACAACTGCTAAAATTATTGGAACATTCTAGAATATGCACTTGAATAATCTAGAGTATTAAAGCAATTTCAATGTTTTAAAATCTGAAATTTGCATTGTAGGAATACTTTTTCACTCATTAAAATGGATAAATGGGATTTATTTCTATTAAATTAACTTTTTCTTTTTTCTATGCATATTTTGTTATTATCCATCAGTGTACAGTCAATTATATGAAAAGATTTTTATTCATTAGTTGGAAATACAATAAGATAAAAATTTGTATGTGTACGAATGTTTGTTCCCCCCATCCCGAGTATATATATACATGTGGATCACACACTATATATATATATATATATATATATATATATATATGATGGATTCTCCCATCGTTTTCGACGTATGAGTGTCTTTCAGTTCAGTTTTTATGTTTATATTTCGTGTATCTGCACTAGATTTGCAAACAAGTCCACATGAGGGAAATTCTGAAGGGTTGACCGTCATAGGGGCTGATATATTGGCTCAAGATTTAGTGTTGGTTCTTAATTCTCTCAGATGGCTGAGACGATTCTTTTCAAAGTTAGTTATTATCTTGGTGGCGGGTGTTTCTTCAGTTTGCTCGGTTTTCAAAAGCCAGTTCGAAATCCTCTATAGGGATGTTTGCAGCATTTAAATTGTATTTATGTTTGTCCTTGAAGCGTAGCCAAGGACAGCCTACATTACCTTTACCCTGAAAAAGTTGGCTATACATGAGGATATTCGGCATCCGATCATCACTCATTCTGATGACATGAAAGCCCATTTGAACTGTGATTGAATCAGAAAAAATTCAATACCACCGACGCCATATTTGATGAAAAGATCAGGATTAGAAATTTTGTCTTGCCGTGCATAACCGCATATAGAACGAAGACAGCATTTATGAAAAGCATCAAGTTGATTGATGTGCATCCCGTATGGCGTCCACGATTCTGACCCATAAAGAAATGTGGTGAAAATGACTGCTCGATAGACACACATTTTCCTTTTCAGTAAAATCCCACGAACATCCCATAGGCGATGCTTAAGCTTCTCAGAGGCATTGGTTGCCTTTGATATTAGGTTAACTTTCTCGTTACCCAAAGAGGCACTTGAATTGACTTTGCTTCCTAAGTACGAGAATGATTTCACACACACAAACACACACACATATATTTCACACATACACACACACACACACACACACACACACATATATATATATATACAGATAAATTTCACAAATCTCTCTCTCTCTCTCTCTATATATATATATATATATATATATATATATGATAAAATATTACTTTTAAGGTATACTATATTTATGGGTAAGACCGCTCAATATCAGATATAGAGCATATGTAAATATAACAGTGGATACTGTAGTCAACGCCGAGCGGCGATAGTCTGTTTCTTGCTTGAACGCAATCTTCAAGCCATGAATATTACGCTCAAGCATAAAACAGACAGTCACCACACGCTATTGACCTCAGTGTCCACATATATAACAGTATAAAAAATGACACACTGACTTCTGCTTTCCTGTCTGCTGGAAGTCATCATCTGTTGTTCCAGTTTTTAAGAATTCTGGTAAGCCGTCTGACCCTTCCAAACATCGGCCTCTTTTTGGGATACTCCTAGAGGCCCTAATCAATGCTGAATTGGTACATCATCTCTCATCGAAGGGTCTTTTCTCAAACAAGTATAATGGCTTTTGTTTTTTCGGACTAACTGCTGATGTACTAACGAAATTTGTGGAAAGAGTTTATCATAGTCTAGATAAAAACGGCGAGGCCGGGTTGTTGTATTGGACATCTTGAAAGCCTTTGACAGGGTCTGCCATTCATCCACAAGATGAAAAGTTACGGTGTCTCCGGACACTTTTTTTTCTTTCCTATCAAATGGTTCATCCTGAACAGCCACACATTTAGATCCTTTCGTACAAAAGCAGGTGTCCCCCGGAGATCCATCCTTGAACCTACTCTATTTTAATTTTCATTAAAAGAAAGTCGGTTCACTGTGTGGGGCGAGACAAGTTTTCGCCCCAGAATCGATCTTACATATCCATAAGTCTACCATTCGTACATGCTTAGAATATTGCTGTTCGATGCCCCTGCTATTTAGCTTCAGATCCTTAATAAGAGCTAAAGAAGAATCTGTAATATTATTGGTCCTGATCTGGCGGCTAAGCTCTAGTAACTTTCCCACCGCAGTAAGGTGGCCGCCCTCTGTATTTTCTATAAATACTTTCATGGTAATTGTTCAGATGAGCTCTCCGCTATGGTACCTAGACTTAATGAATTTAAAATCAGTACTGGCGTCGAGATCTCATCAATTTACAGTTGAGCTAGCTAGATATAGCCGTAAGTTCTATGCTAGCAGTTTCTTTTCTCGCACTTTTCGCTTGTGAAACTCCCTTCCGGTTCCATGCTTTCCAACCAACCTTAATTTCCAATAATTTAAATGCAATGTTAAACGCTATCTACTGTCCTCCTGGTCACTCTCTTCTCTTTCTGTTCATCATTAATGTTTCTGTTCTTAATTCTTCCACACCTTGTAACCCCTTATGTTTTAGCGGCATTAGTGCCTTGCTTGAATGATTCCGATTAAAATATATACTGAGTATACCAGCAAAATTGTCC